CCATTTAAATTTTGTTAAAACATCACCTAAATTTTATCTGTAATATGCCCCACATGTGACTTCTTTGAAAAAGTAGATTTGCCCGTGCACAAATTTTCCATATACCTCAAAACTTAAAAATCATAATAGAAGGCTTTCTAAACTAAATCTTGAGCAAGTTAAACAAAACTAAATATTCTGATTCAGAATCATTTAAGATCATCAATTATAATTAACATAATATAAATACGGATTCAGCTCTAAAAACACTAATTCCCAAATTAAATAACCTCAAAACTAAGTCTTTAAATTCTTGCTTCTAACACTTGAAACATATCTTCACTGTCAAGATGCTAGCCATCACTCCTTCCTCTTATCCATATACATTTCTCTGGTAGCCACTTCTCCTGTCCCTACTTTGCTATTTCTCACCTATCATAGTCTGAAAACTTAAGTATCATAATTTGTCAGAACTAGAAAAAGTTTTCAAGTAAGAGCAAAAGTCACATAAAAAAAGTAAAATATGCAAATCTCTGTAAGTGGTTTTGCTTGAAAAAGACCCAAAGATGAGAATTGTTCATTTAAAAAGTTTAATAAAAGCCAATAACACATGATTTCTACCTACTTCCTAGATTTATTTTCATGAAGCCAATGAGCACAAATAATAGATTTAATGTACAATGAACTTATACCAATAATTAGAGAAACATCCTTATTAGAGAATAATTTACTATTATCAAGGGACTAAAAATAAAAGTTTTTAACTTTATTATAGCATTAGGCACCATCCTGGCCAGAAAAATTAGATAACTTTCCAACATTCTTCCATTAAAAAAGTCTATGTAAATGAAAAATTTTGGTTTCAAATATTGAAGAATACTTTAACTGGACAACCTATTTTCTCACTTCTAACTTCATACTTGCACTATTTTCATATCACCATGTCCTAAGACAGATTAAAAATAGAAACGTAGTCCTATATCCTCTAACAACTTATCCCTATTAACATCATATCAGCATTAGGGAACAAGTTTAATAACACCTTAATGAAAAATAACAGGTATCACAAATTTTCCCAATGTTTCTCTTAAAAAGTACATTTTGTGGAATCTGCGGGAAATATATCCCATTTATGAGAAAAAAAAACAAACACAGTATAAAGATGTAAACTCACCCCAATTTAAGTTTAATGCAATGCTAAACTAAACTATCACTACAACAAATAAAACAGTGCACTACTGCTACATGGATAAGACCCAGGTACAGTGGTTGTTAACCTAGCTTTAGATTTTGTATTATATATTCCTGTGAAAAGCTGATGAAAACTATAACTCTTTCCCCAGAAAAATGCACATAGGCATAATCACATAATGTTGTGTACATCAAGGAATCCATCAAAGGATCTACCAAGGAATCTTCTTACTATCTGTAGAAACTCCTGAGGCCAATGGACCAAGTTAAATATCCCCAGTAAATGAAGCAGAACTATAGCTCAAACCTGGTAACTTAAGATCAAAATTAGCAACTCAAAGCAGTAAGAAAAAAGATCACCAACGTAAGAATCTAAGAAAACTAGGTATTTGGGAAAACTGGAAACTAATAAACTCCATACAGATTAAAACACTTATTTTTTTAATCATTAAAATACATAGAAAAAATAAATAAAATAAGTGAACATTTAAGTTCATTTCACAACAGGTTATTTCTAGGCAAAGAAGTCCTGGAAGAAATCACAAATGAGAAAAAGCAGTGCATTAGACTACCAAAAAAAAAAAAAAAAAAAAAAAAAAAAAAAAAAAGGAAAACTTCTGAATATATAAAATAAGCAATTTTAAAAGTAATAAACTAAAAAAAAAGCCTGCCAAAAGTATGAAAAGCAAAAGGCTTATATCCATAAATAGCTGTTATCAATAGGAAAAACATTAACATCCACCATAGAAAAGATTAAAAAACCTCAAACAGCTAATTCACAAAAATGAGAACATTGTATACATAAACATTAAAAAATTCAACTTCACCAGATATCTATAGCTATACATCTATATCGATATCGATTTCTATATCTATATCTATATCTCTATGGTACTGTTTTTCAGCCACCAAACTGATGGTGGTATGGGAAATGCTTTTCAAAAAAATAAATTTTTATTAATTTTGTAATTACCTTAAAAGCCCTTTGAAACAATATTTGAAGCAATAATTTCAAAGAAATCATTTCAAAGAGATGCAGTTCATAACTCATGTGTAAGGATGTTCAGTGTAGCATTATTTATAACAGAGAAATGGGCAACAAACAAATGGTCAATAAAAGAAATGCTTAGTAAGTCACAGTACATTCTTATTAGATATAACAATATTGTAGCCGCTTAAAGACATTTGAAGAATATTTCATGATTTGGGGTATTTTCTCAATAAAATATTATATACCCATTAAAAGAAATTTTTAAAAGAACATTATACATTGAAAGAACATTAAGTATTTTAAAAGAATAATGAAATGAGATAAATATCTACAACATAATACAAAATTAAAAGAACAAGAATGAAATTATGGTCCAAATGAAAAACTGATCAATATTTATTGAACAATATTTATTGACCAATTGATAAACCATGAAAAAATAACAAAATCACCAGAACATTTATGCTGTTTATTTCTAAATGTTGCTAATTTTCAACACTTTCCAAAGGTGCTGCAATGAATAAGTAAAAAAGTATTTAAATATATGTATCAAATATTCAAATCATAATTTAAAAAAAAAGACAATTTTAATGGTTTATGACTTAATCACTAAGTCTTTTTCTCTAAACTAAATTTTGTGATGTTTAAAATCTACAAAACTAAAAATGACCCCAATAATTTAATATTCATTAGTCTCAATATTATATATTCTGCATATGTCAAAATTTTGTGGCAACATAACTAAAATTTCTAAATCAAACTAAAATTTCAAAACATGCTTTTTATTCAAAGAATAACAAACAAAATAACAGACATTCAGACAATTCACTGGTCTTTGTTTTAAGTTTATAGAACTATACTTCTCTTTCTAACAAATAGCAAAATTGTCCTACTAATAAATATTTACATTGTACACTATGTTCCTCAGTATTTTCAAGACCTCTTACAATCTTCAGCATTAACCTAAGAGGCAATCTTTTGTATTCAAATGAAAACAAACTTTAATACACAAACCAAAATATTTTACTTTTCTGGAAGTGCAAAATGTACCACTGCCCTAAAATCAAAGTTCCTTTCTTAACCTAAAACACATACATACACACAGATACAGAAAATACAAGATACTTTCCACTCTAAACACCTGAAATTATGTATTAGGAAGTGGAGGAGGGGTGTGCTGGGGCAATCACCCAGAAGTATAAAAAGGCAGGATATTACACAACTGCCCTCTAAATATATTTCTGTGTAGAAGAGACCAGAGGGCCAGGTTTATATGAACAGCTAATTTTCTGTTGAGAAAAGAGAGTTACCTTCCCTATCACTTCATTCTATCTCATACGTGACGTCATTTTTAAAAAATCCACCAACCAAAACTATTCCTTTCAATTACATCTACTTAATGCTAACGGTGTTTGCTTTGGGCAATAAAACCGTCCCTAACCAACCATTATAAAGCAATAGGCACTTCTTCATTTGACAGATGACTGATTTAAACTTAGTCTTATATAACCAACCAAGAAACCAATTATTGTACACACAAACCACAGGTGAAATCTATGAAAAACAGTTACAAATTTTTAGTCTAGTAAGAAAAAATTTGCACAATGGTAGAATTATATCAGATTGTATAACACTTCTCCCAGCGGTGTTATATAAGATTTAAATATAGTGACACAACCATTGTAAACTAAAATAACCAGTAGCACACCTCTAACTATCTTCTTTAAGAAATGAAAATTAGGAACACACAATTTTAAGAAATCAAACACAACTCTATTTCATACACATATACAGGGCAGTTTCTTTAAAGAATCAACTAATTTTTTCATTAATGGTTGACTTTATTTCCTCATAAAGGCCTCAGTTTAGTGAGGAGTTCTTTGCAGAATTCTTTATGAGAAAAATTTACCAAGCAAGTTTTATTTCACATATCATAACAAACCAAAGGCTAAACAAATGACCTAATTTTAAAAGTCAGAGTCACAAAAATGATCAAACTGAAGCAGTGATGGACAAGTGATCACAGACTTTAAAAATCTAAAACCCAAATGCAAGTATAATCAGAAGCACACAAACTGGTAAAATTAAAACTTCATTAACTTAGAATCAAATATTAAAAAAATAAATAACCAAGGAGATTGAGATTTCTTTTTAAACAATAGTATATAGATTCTTCCAATGCCCCTTCCCCCCATATCTCCAAAACTCCAATTCTCGTTTGTACACATTCCCTCTTAACAAAACTGGTAAAAATAGGGTTAAAATGTATTTGCAAATATTCAGTTCAATTAAATGTACTGCCCCTGAGACCACCACTAGGTGCTGATCTTTATCTCCCCAAATATAAACTTGAACCCAGCAATACCCTAAAAGTGAAATTATAATCAAGAACCACAAGTGACAATCATTTTTACAGAAAATTAAGTTCACAGCTTCTCAGAAAATCGGAGAAATATAAAAGAGTTTAGAGGGTCGGTATAGGAATGCAACACAAAAGAAACGTTTTCCTTGAAAAATGTGGCAGTTTGAGGACAAGAAAATGAAACTCCTCAAGAATGAGGAAAATTAAATCTAGAACCCAAATGGCGTCCAACAAGAACATTAGATCTTGAAAATGAATATTGCGCTTGCGCAGCCACCGCCCCGCCAGCTGCACAACTGCAGCTAGAGCCCGACCCCGCAAGATCACGTGCTCCCATGCAGCGCCCGCCCGCAGCTCCGCAACCGCGCAGGCGCACACACAACTCCCGCAGCCGCCATAATGCGGTCTTGACTCTTCATAAATACAATAGTAATTTAAGAAAATGTGGTTATAACAGCCCCTAGGAGTCACATATACCTTTCGGGGCGGGAGATGAGGGAGGGGGAACCAAGTTCCTTCCTACAGAGCCGTTCCGCGCAACCGTCCTCAACGCGGCCGCTTCAGTATCGCGCGCTTCAGTCGCCGCGCCGCCGCTGCCGCCGCCGCCACCTCCGCAGATTCAAAAACAAACCCGCTTCTGCCTTGCACGCGCCGGGGCCGTTATGCAAATTAATGTAGGCGGGGCTCTGTGGTCGTACTATTGGCCACGCCCACGGTGCTAACAGCCAATAGGCTCACGGCTCAGCCGTTGCCCATGCAAATCTCCTGGTTTTTTATTTGAATGAGGGAAATTGGCCACGCCTCCTGCCTTGGAAAGGAGAAGGAAGTCTGAGGTGGTGGCGCTGCGCCTTTTAGTTGCAGTGTGAAGTGTGTTTTGAGTGGAGCTTCGCTTTACCCAGTGAGTAGCACTTTGTGAGCGCCCTCTATGAGCCTCAGCAAAGAAGGAAGGAAATAGGTTGGTGAGAGTTAAAGAGCTGAGAGAAATATTTTCAAAAAAGCCTTAAGTATATTTGTTCATCATTTATATTAAAAATTCACAAAGTATACTTTAAACTGTAAGTAATGAGAGAATGGCGAAAACACATCTTTTCTTTCAGTTTTGTGCCAGAGCAAGCACTTCCAATCATACCCTTTCACCAGAAGTTGTATCCCTTATATTCAGTTTTATATTGGGAACCAATCGTTAATGAAGGCCATAGGATGTAGTGAAAAAAGTGCAACTCCTTTTGTTGGGAGATCTGGGCTCACGTCCAAGTACTCCTGCCTTCTTGCCTGTTTCTTGGAACACGTGTGTTAACACGGTTTTCTCATCTCTAAAATAGTGATAATGCCTGTGATTCAAGTCGGTTAAGAGAGGTCAATGACAGGATAAATCAATGTAAAGGTGTTTTGCCAAACAAGAAGAGCCTGACAAATAGATCATAAGGTTTTGTTAACTTGTTTTGAATGTAATTTTTTGCTTAAATTAATCTACTCATTTTTTATTCAGTAATCACTGTGGTCTAGCCCGGCCACAAGAAATCTATACTAGAGGAAGCAGAAGAGTAAACAGGAAATTTTTGTAAGTAATAAGAAATTAGTGGAGGGTGGTTAATACTTATTTTTATAATTTGGGTCTTTCAACTCAGTTGAAATACTGGGTGGCTTTTAGGAGAATCGCTTAATCCAGAGTTGGAAAATCAGTAATGCCTTCCTCGAAAAGGCAAATTGTAACATGAGAACTGATTTAGTAGATTTTCTGCCTAAAAGCTGATCTTTGTTACAAAGTAATGAGGGATCATTTAAAAGGTTCTAAGTCAGGAAATAACACATTTAGATTTGTGTGGCTTTATTGCTTAGCTTTGTAAAGTATGTAACACAGAGCATAGTACATGATTGTTCAAAAAGTTACGAATAGAGGCTCAATTATAATAAATTATGTATTATAATTTATTTAGTACATAGATGCTCAGTTATAAAATACTCAACTAATTATAAATATTAATATAGACATTAAAAGTTGCACTCTATAATAAGAAAAATGGGATTGGAATAATAAAGCCCATCAGGTTTCTTTTTGTATGTTTCCTATAAACAAATAAAAAAGAATCATGTTTATAATAATTCACTCGCAATTGTCTAGACTAATGGCAAAGGGGAAAATAATTCACCATTGACTCACTAATTGATTGATTTTAATAGATATGCTCATATTCTAGACTTGCCTCCCTAAGGCTCCAACTAGATGGTTTTATTGTATTTGAATTTCCCCAAATATATTCAACCACACATTATGTAGTCTCTTCAGACATTCCACCTGCTGGTTGATCTAACCAATCATTCATTGTTTCATTCAACAAATACAGTATTAATTATGCACTCACACACTATCCTAGCCACTAAGGATGCCCAGAGGAAATGACACTGCCTCTAATGGAGAAAGAAACGTATATACAGATAAACATTATGAAATAATTACTATCATGAAATTACACACTAAATATAAAAGAAATACAGAACAAGAGAACCTAAATCTTCCTCATAGAATATAGGAAAATTTCTTGCCTGTTTCCTGTAAAAAGTGTGACCTGATTAATAATGAAGAGCTTAAAGTAGCTGTCAGAATAATACAAAAGAAAAAGAATTCAAGTTAAGTAAAACAGAAATGCAAAATATTTCGCATTCCTTATGGCACTAGGCACTGGCCAGAGTGGAAGCAGACATGAAAACCTTCTACTGTGTCAGATGTTAATCATTTAGTTGTCAGATTGTGAAGAGGTCCAGGGCTTATTTAACTGGGGACTGAGGCAGACTGGATGGTAGGAGGAGTATTCAGAGGTGGGACAGCTACTTACCAATCAGTACTAAAAGATTTCCATATTTTGTCAACCATTTGGCTTTATACAAACAGACTGAATATTCTTCTAGAAAAAAAAAAATGCAGGAGTAAAGCAAAATCACAGAATTTCTCAGAAAAAAAAATTCCAAAAAACAAAAAAAACTAAAATAATAAACATAAATAAATGAATTTCAGTGGTAGCAATTGAGCACCAATTGAATAGAGAAAATAGAACTTTTGAAAAACAGCATAAACTTGAAAAAGGAATAGATAAAAAGGAAAACTGAAGTTTTGAAGTATATAAAATGAGACAGCGTAATGTAACAATTACGAAAAATGGCCTTTGAAAGCATACTACCTGAACTGGAATCTTGTCTCTACTTTTTTTTTTCTTTTAATGTTTATTTATTTATTTTGAGAGAGAGAGAGACAGAGAGGGAACAGTGGAGGGAGAGAAGGAGACAGAAAATCCCAAGTAGGCTCCACACTGTCGGCACGAAGCCCGAACTGGATCTTCCCTGAGGAAAGAGATTCTTTTTGTTGACTTGATGCAGTAAAAAACTATGTTGAAGAAGTCAATATTAAAAGTTACTAAATTGGCCTATAGAATGTTGGGTAGCCTGAGAATGGGCTTCAGCCATGTAGCCATCTAGCCATGTAGCCTTGTAGCCATAAGGAAATAAATTCTATAAATAAACCAAATGATCTTGGAAGCAGATTCTTCACCAACCAAGCATTTGGATTAAAATACATCCCAGATAATACCTTGATTGTAGCCTTGTGAGACTATGAGCAAAGGAATGTAAGTCATACCCAAAATTCTGACCCACAGAAACCAAGATAATAGATGTATAATTTTTTAAGTTACTAAATTTGTAGTAATTTGTTACCTGGCAATAGAAAACTAATACAGGAAGCGATCAAGAGGTATCTAAACCATTTTCCAAGGTACATATGTGACCTAAGTGAATGAAATGGGTTCTATTAGAAGATATTTAACTGGCACTTAATAAAAAGGATAGAACCAGTACTATAATTATTCCTTGGCAAGAGGAGCCAATCTTCTGGTCCCCATATCTTAGAGGCCCCTATATGTCATAAACACACATGCACACATTTGCAAGAGCGGAAGGATGCCTTTGTCACTCAGAATCTGGCACTCAGCACTACCATAATGGTAACTGTGACCTTAAAACATCTGCCCTCCTAATATTACTCATGGCCTCAGGGAAATGCTTCTCCATATTTTTTGCTCTGTGTCCTCAAAACAAATGGCAGTTGTCAGAATACAATGAAGGTCAGAAGGTTGAGACATACACACAACCAGAGTATGTAAAGATTTGAGCAGCAAAATAAATTTAAAAAATTAATTTTTCCTTCCTCTCTGTTAGTACATATTCAATAGATTTTTGCTTAATAGTCATTTGCCAATAGTGTCAAGCCTCCATTTTCTTGCTTTTTTTTCATGTTCCAGTTTGTGGTTCTGTGGGCACTCAGAACTTATTGCAGTACTCCCAGCATTTGTACTTAGCTCCTGGAAAACTTTTTGAAATATCAAATAATCTACATTAATCTTATAATGCATACCACACATGTAGATGTTGATGTAATATAAATGAAACATGATATTCACTGTTAAATTAGCAACTAAATTACATTGAGTTCTAGAACTATAAATGATTTCATTTTAATAAGTATATTTCAATTCTGAAAAACCAATGGGTCAAAGATGAAATCAAAAGACAAAAAAATAACTTGAGACAAACAAAAATGGAAATACAGTATGCCAAAATTTATGTGATGTGGCAAAAGCAGCTCTAAGAGGAAAGTTCATAGCAATAAATGTCTACATCAAGAAACAAGTAAAATCTCAAACAACCTAACTTTATACCTCAAGAAACTCAAAACAGTTGAATAAATAAAGCCCAAAATTAAAAGAAGGAAGGAAATAGCAAAGGTCAGAGTGGAAATAAGTGAAATAGAGATTGAAAACACAATAGAAAAGATCAATGAAACCAAAAACTGGTTTTGAGAAGATAGACAAAATTGACAAACCTTTATCTAGACTCACTAAGAAAAAAAGAAAGGACTCAGATAATGTCAGAAATGAAAGAGGAGATGTTACAACTGACACCACAGAAATACAAAGTATCACAAGACACCACTATGAACAATTATACACCAAGATGTTGGAACACCTAGAAGAAATGGATAAATTCCTAGAAATATACAATCTATCAAGAATGAAGCATGAGGAAATAGAAAATCTGAACACTCTGATTACTAGTAAGGAGAATTAGTAATCAAAAACCATCTGACAACAAAAGCCCAGAACCACATAGCTTTACTAATGAATTCTACCAAACACCTACAGATGAATCAATATCAATCAATATCAAAATCTTCCAAAAAATAGGAGGGAACACTTCCAGACTCATTTTATAAGGCTAGCATTACCTTGATAACAAAACCAGAGAAAGACACCCCAAGAAAAGAAAATTAATGGGCCAATATCCCTAATTAACATAGATGCAAAAGTCTCAGCAAAATAGGGGTGCCTGGGGGGCATAGTCAGTTGAGCGTCTGACTGTTGATCTCGGCCCAGGTCATGATCTCACGGTTCGTGAGTTTGAGCCAAGCATCAGGCTCTGTGCTGATGGTGCAGAGCCTGCTTGGGA